TGCTAGTAAAGAAGTTAAGTTTTTTAGAAACACCTAATAAAAAAACCACATGCTTTTAAGAGTGTAATTTATACAGCTGCTGGTTACTATTTGGGATAGATTGTATGTCTGTGTTATTTATCTTCTGAATTGTTGTTAAGTGCCATTGAGTTGGTTCTAACTCATAGCGACCCTATACACAACATAATGAAACACACACACTGTTGTTATGCTTCAGCCCACTGCTGATACCACTTGCCAATCCATCTCACTGGGTTTTTTCCTCTTTTTTGCTGACCCTCCACTTTGGCAAGATATCCTTCTCCAGGGACTGGCCCCTTCTAATAATATGTCGGCATATCTCTTGAATATTTTCTAAAAATTTTTAGCTGTATTCAGAAGAAAAAAACTGGCAGGACACAGTAACAACCCACCTCGAGCATTTTTGCCATTGTCACTATTTCATGATCTGGAGGATTATATTTGTAGCAATCCATGAATATTAATCTAACATCTGCAGCAAATTCATGTGCATCCTTATATTCTTGGTTGTCCATTTTTCGCTAAATAAAGGGAAAATTACTGTATTCATAAAAAGCATAGTGCAATTCAACAATTATTTGAGGACTTATAGTAAATGTTTATAATTCAAACATACTAAAAGCAGATACCGTTCAGATGTGACAAATGTTAGAATCCTGCTACATTTGTTTTATACAGGTGAAGAAAAGCACAGAGGAAAAAAAATCACAAAAACTATGTATTTTCATATAATCTTAGGTAAGTTTTGCAGAAGGACAATAGTTAAAACATGAGCCTAAACTTGGAACATGTAAGTGAAGTTTTTATGGCTTAAAAATGCTCTATGACTAGTCAGGGGAAGAAAACAGTATTTATAAATTACTGCTATTTTATAACATACACAATTTTAAACACGTATATATCCCCCTAGCCTCCACAACTCTGAAAACAAGAGAACTAGGTGGTACCTGACTACCTACGACTGACTGCTCAGAAAGGGATAACAACAGAGGTCCTGGACAGACTGGAAAAAATGGGGAACAGAATTCAAAAGACTAAACATCAGACTTGCCTGGCACTGAACTCACTCCTATGGTTTAACTTTCAGCCAAAGGATAGACAGACATGCCTAAGAAGGGAGCAATAAACACCAGGAAGGTACACACTCCTTAGAGCAATCAACAAGGTAAGAGGGAAGAAAAAAAAGAGCAGTATTTGCCCAGGAATAAAATTCATAGGAAAGAAAAGCAAATGGAAACAGTAAACAGAGTGAGGAGGTGGGAAGAGTGCTATTACAGTGTGGGGACTGTAACCAGTATCGCAAAAAAAAAAACAAAAAACAAAAAAAACAGGTGTATCAACTGTTGAACAGAAAACAAATTTGTTTTGTATATTTTTACAAAAATAACAACAAAATGATTAGGACTTCCAGCAAGATGAGAGGTTAGGCAAATGCACTACAAGGACCCTCTACAACAAAGATACGAAGGACCAAATAAAACAGATACACATGAAAATTCTGAACATAAACTTCAGAAGAAAGGTTAAAGAGGTGGATGGAGTGTTTGATGAGAGGAGAGGCTGAACAAAACAGATCCACTTGGGCGATAGGAAGACACCCCAGTGAGAGCTGGGGTCGGGCTGCACTGAGGTGGTATGCTGCTTTCGTGCCTATATTCAGATGGGTTCAGCTCCAGGCCTACAGGACCTGTAGAGTCACCAGAACAGCATTCAATCAGTTACCCTAACAGCCAAAGAAACCAGCTCCATCAAGGGCCCCCACAAACTACTTCTGGATTTAGTCCCCTGAACTTAAGATAACACTGAGCCCAATAAGGAATTCCATCTAGGGTCAGGAACTCTGCTGTCTCATCTCTTCCACAACTGTCTTGTTGTTATTGTTGTTCAGTACCATGGAGTCGGTTCCGACTCATAGTGACCCTGCACAGGGTTTCCGAGGCTATAAATCTTTACGGGAACCGAACGCCTCATCATTCTCCCACTGAACCGCTGGTAGTTTTGAACGCCGACCTTCAGGTTAGCAGCCCTATTCATAACCACTACGCTACCAGTCTTGGGAGCTCCTTAAATTGCAGGAGTCCCTCAGTGATTTCGCCCCTCCAGGTTCAACAACTGCACTGTTGGGTTTTACAAATACAACAATATAACAGTGCCCCAGAAACAACAATTTTAATTCAAAGAAATAAGACCTAATGGCTCAAACACATAACCAAGATGCAGACACAGAAAACATTTCTGAGGAAAAACAGGTAATAGAATGAACTGAAAAAAGAATGTTTAAAAAATGGAATTTTGTTACCTTCAACAGATTTGACAGAAAGATTAGGGAAAGCAAGGAGCACACAGAAAAGAAACTTTAGAACTGACAAAATCAATGCAAATTTTGAAACTACACAAAAGCCTGCAATTAGAAATCAAGAAGATCTTAAAAATGGACAATACATTGAAAGAGCAAAGGAGATTTGAAGCAATGAACAAATTAATCTGAAGATAAATCTCTCATACTAGTATGCTAGAAGAACAATCAGAAAAAAAAAATGAAAAAAATCTAAAGAAAGCCTAAGAGTTATGTAGGACACCACAAAGAGGAACAACAGAGACTACAGGACCAACAAGGCTCAGGGAATGGTCCCAGTACTCTGAACCACATATAAAGGAATATTTAGAAGGTTGGAAGACTTACAGCTGGGGAGTTGGTGGCAGAAGCAAGAAATCCATTGCTTCCTGGTTCGGGAAGCTCAGCTGCTCCAGGAGCCACCATTTTGTGTGGGGCCAGGCGGGGAAAGGATCAGAGCAGCCACAGATGCCTGACAGAGCTGCAGAGATAGGGGTGTGGACATTCTTTTTTTTCTTTTTTTTGGGTATCTTTTCGTTCGTCCCTTGCTGTCTGCGTACCTCCATTCTGGTGACTATAGGGGTGCCTGAGATGACGGATACTCCAGCCCAAACCTCGGAGGGTTCTACTACACATGTGCATAGATCTTCTCAAAATTTAAAGAGATAGTACCCACTTAAAACCAAACGGCCAACAGATACTCAGCCAAAGAGCAGGCCTTGAACTTTTCTTGTTTGCTTTTTGTTCCTGTGTTTTTTAACACAGGAAAGAGAAGGAGAGGG